CCAAAGAAGAATGAAAGATATTGATAGCTCATTTAAATCAAATATTGAAACGCTCAGCCATAGCTAGAATAGCATTCGAAGAAACCATAGTCTGCCCACTGTGCACGTGTACCTTCAATTAAGAAGAAATATTTAAACACTCCTGCACATCGAGTATGGACCTTGAACTCCCTATGTATATTTGAATATCAAACCAAAATTAGATGAGGTTAATTTATAATCGAATAAAATAATACTAATAATCTTAAGTTGAATGATTTATCATTATGAATGGTCTCCTAGCAATAATGGAATAAAGATGATAAACTTAAATCTCTATTTCTTTTAATTGCTTCTTGCACTTGTCCAGTTAATATTTTTAAATGGATTATTTAATATAAGTATTTAATATCCTATAACTATGTGATACAACTTCCTCGAATAGAGTATGGAGAAATTACATTAATTACATTAAATTCCTATATATAGGAACAATAAAACAAGATTTCATATGTAAAATTCAAATTGTTGCAAAGTGTTAATACTATTTTAAACAAGGATTAAAATAAAGAAATACATTATGTTGTGGATTTGATCTTTGAAAGCTTTGATATATAATTTCACAAATTATAGTTGTTGTTCATATCTCATAGATTTATTTCGATTTTATTTACAAAATTAAGAAACAATTAATATATAAGGAAGAATTTATAAAAATTGTAAGGCATATTATTAGTTGATAATAAATTTTTAAAATTAAAGACATACTTTTCTAAAATATGAAAAATTATTGTATACCTTGTGAAATATTGATAAAGAAAGGATTTCTAGTTTCTAAACGTAATATATCAAAACAAATTTGAATTAAAAAAGAATAAGATATTTTTAAGGTTGAACTAATTAGAAGTTTCTAAATTTATATTTTTTTATTTTTTTGGCAAATAAATAAGAGTTCAATATCAATTTGTATATTGATCGTTTAGACTAGCTGATATTTTATAGATTTTAATTTGAAACAGTAAAATATATTGTATCTGATTTTTTCTCTATGCATTGTAGTTTCATTTAGCATTTTAGTATGTATTTAATGTCTTAACTATTAATATAAATAAAACAATTTAAAGAACAAGGAGATAATATATAAATAAACAGAAATTAGATTGAAAAAAAAACCAATTTAGCCCAGAATAATAAAGTGAATTTTCTTTAAAACGTATTAAAGAAGTTACTTCAAAATTTAAAACAGCCGCTTTGGATATTACTGTAGCTTTGGATGTTGCACAATTAACTTTCAAAAATAGGTTTCAGCCAAACTTAGATATGAAAGAAGAAAAAATTCTCTATATTTATTCTCTTGATTGTTTTGATAAATTTAAAGTCTAAGTATGTGTAGATGTTTCTGGAGTTGACCTTAATTGATCTTTTTTTTCCCTTCAATATATATTCCTTTAAAATAAATTTATTTTTTGATCAATAAGAATGGATAAGCAACAAATATTCTTCATGTTTCAATTTAATGGAGATATCTTTGGAATGGTCACGTGAAGTTGGAGAATTTTTGATCAGATGGGAATAAGAATCTAATTCAATCCAAATAAGATAATATTTAGCTAATTGAATAAATCATTTATAATAATTTTGAATTTTATTATTCTAAATTCAATTGTTCAAAAAGTTATAAATAATGAGCAATATTTTATTTTGAATTAAACTTTTATTTATCATGTTAAAATCAGCATTGATGTTCGAATAATTAATTCAAAACTATTTTTATATTTTTTAAGAGCATACAAATGATTTTGGATGAAAATTTCTTATCAGTGAAAATTAAATAACTTTATTAAAGATATTAGCAATATCAATCATATTTAAATACAAAATTCTCGCTTAAAATTATTAAAAAAATTTCAATTAATATGTATATTGTTATAAAATAGAATAATTAAATTATTTTGAAATTAAATAAAATATATAATAATGTAATTAAAAGAATTATAATTAATTTAGAAAGAATATTTTGTTTGGTAAAAAAAATGAGTGTAAAAAAATGAAAGATAGTTAATAATATGAAAAAGGAGAAGAGTATAATTATATTATGTTGTGATTATTTTTATTGTATTAATTAGTTTATTTTTG